AAGACAACCGCAATACCGCACGGAACACAGTTTACCATTTTCCAAAGAAGCACCAATTTCGATGTACTAAAATTCATACTTGTATTGGCTTCGAGGCTTAGGAGATTAAAACNCAAATTTCACTCGCCTTGTGGTATTTGTGCCAAATATTACTACAAATCATGCTATTACCTACACTAATATACGATGGAACCTGTATTAAGCGGACGCCCACTCAACTATCCCTGTGACCATTAACACAGGTTGTTTTTAACGAAAATATAGAAAGAAAAGTAAGGATTCAATAGAGACAATGGAGGGTGCAAATGGGGTACGATGATACTGCTAGCCAGTGTAGGAATTTCCTCTAACCAGTGATTGGCGTTTTTAGGTTTCCACTTTCATCACTGTGCATGCGACTAAAAGCCCTTTCTTGGCACCATAGAAAAAGGAGTGTCACTAGTATTCCCTATTTTTGATGAAATAATAAAAAAGGCTAATAGGAATCACGTAAAACACTAAACAAGAAGAGCTGGAAAGTTTGCTGTGGAGAGAACTACTTCTCATATTTCATAACGCTAAGACAACCGCAATACCGCACGGAACACAGTTTACCATTTTCCAAAGAAGCACCAATTTCGATGTACTAAAATTCATACTTGTATTGGCTTCGAGGCTTAGGAGATTAAAACAAATCAAATAAAATTTACCATTCATTACTTAGCCACAACATGACTTGTTCTTTTGTTTTATCCCCCCATAAGCCTCGAAGCCAAGTACGAATAAGTGGTGTATTAAAATGTGTAACTGTGCTGTTCGAAATCATGAATTGTGCAGACACCTAGGGTTACGCTCGCAATGCATGAGTACACAATGCTATTTTTTTTTAAGTGTTTGAGTCCTCGCAAGCCATTACTACTACATGTTTCTCTATTCTTTCTATCTTTTATTAATTAACGATAACAATAATTAAAGTAATTATTGTAAGTAATTTCTCTTATAACGTATTGATTGTTTTGTAAGGCAGTTTTATTTTAGTACAGCAAGTGTAAAGTGAACGTCTCCACACTACCTGCCTCGATTGACTCCGCTATTTGCATGTAGACTGTATATTAAAATGTATTTTTTTCATGTAAATAAAGTTCCATGTGTGAAGGTCGTAAAGGTGGGCTAATTTCCAAAAATAAATGTATTAGAAGTTGCAAACACTATAATCATTTTGCATACAGAAAATAACATTCTCCCTCAAAAATGTTCTCACTTTTGACTTTTACACCGATATTCTTTTCTGCGATAGTCAGTTCGTATTTAATGTGCATGCTATTGATAGATCTATTTTAGATCGGTTTTCGGCTAATCAGCATGGATATGGCTAAAACTTGTACCACTAAGGGCACATTTTCTGACTAATCAGATGTAATATAGCAGCGTTTGTTGTTGTTGTTGTTATTTTGTTTTTGCGCACGCGGATAAGGCCAAATTTGGACTTTTTCTTTTGTTTGTGTGTTTGTTTGTTTGTTTGTTTGTTTTTGAGTTTTAAAGCGAGTTCTTATTAATTCAGTGGTACATTTATTCGGTGTAAGAGTATGGTAAAATTGGAAAGTCATGAATTCGCAAGTCTCGCTAGTCAATCAATCATAACGTTATAGAGTATAATTAACTGGCAAGAGCACGGTGGTAGCTAATCGATGAGTCTGATGATCGGTGCAGGAATTTTTTGCGGACATAGATCGGCAAAACCATCAGCGGTTTCTATGGGCAGAAAATCAACTTCTTCCAAAGGTCTCCTTCGTGTGGCGTGGGAACGGAAACTTCTGGCCCCAGTTGTTCGAAAGGTGGATAACGCTATGGATAAATTACTATCCACTGAATAGCGCAATTGGTTTTCCTAATATCCTCTGGATAGCGATTTAGCCGGTGGATAATGCTATCCGGCATCCATCTTTTGAACAGTCGGGGCCTGGCAAAGATTTCCATACCCTATCTGCAGTTCCTTCTTCTCAGTGCGTCTTTGCGACTCGGCTCTTGACTTCTATGTTGCACCTCTTCTTTCTCTCTTCGTAGCACATGACCGATCCACTATTACCACCGTCATTTTCTTTTCTTCTTGCGTGCAGACCGAGTCCAATGCAACCTCTATTCCGGGGACACCTCCACTGAGAGGACACTTACCTTCACGGTCCCGAGGGTATC